ATCCTATTCCAAAAAATACAGACATGCTCTTAAACCCAGATGGATTCAAGTGCGCTACCAGTCCAGACCTGAACACGGGACAATACCACATCGAGCTGTCACCTCACTCGAAGCAACACCATGCCATGCACTCCGGAAGGGAAAGCACGAGTACCAGAGGTTGCCAATGGGCCTATGTAATAGTCCAGACATCTTCCAAAGGAAGATGAAAGCACCCATGCATGACTTAGAAAATGTCCGGTCATACATTGATGATCAACACATCCTACGACGTCGATCTCGCAGATCTGCGTTAACAGTAGGATGACCTTTCCCAAGGACTCCAAAAAGTCGGGATTGAAATAAAACTACCAAGGCCTTCCTCGATAGGAAGAACTGGAACTATAGACAATTGGACTTCTACGAGAATGGAAGCCAACTCTTAACTAAAAAGAAACAGATGCGATCCAGCATATCGCTGAAAACTACCAAGGGCTGCTCCAAGACAGCGACGAGGACTAACCATCGATTCTGAACCAAGACGTGGGGTTACGCAGGTATCATGACCGGTAGTCATGGACAAGAGACGTGAGCCCGCGTAGAGGTCAAGAAGACGTACCGGGATGAACATGGACTCGTCGCAATTTCGCCGCGGTCAATCGTTGACAAAAAAATGACTCACCACATCCGTTTCAAAGCAAAACCGGAAATTAAATCAAGGAACGTCGCCAAACGACTCATACCAGAAAACACCGATAAGGAGGAACACGGCACGTGTCCCTCAACAACACATGTCAACGACACTAAATGATGATTTCATTCAGTGTCAGAACCGTTAATGCGTCAGCCAACGCACAAGGTACTTACACACACAGACCGAGTCGAATAACATGGCACTCACGCTCCGACATACTACGCCAATGGAACGGCACAGTTTACCAGACTTGGACAATAAGTATTACACCCATACAAAGGCCTTAATCCCCTTGTAGGATTGCAATCGTGCGACGACATGTCACACATCCAATCTCCGGAGAGTGCCCGCACTTTAATTCATATGTTCTCCTTGTCGACTGATGTCGTGCCTTCCGTGACCCTGTCAGGGGGCGAATGCAATACACGCTCTTAGCCTTATTCGCGACTCGATCCTAGATAGGGTTTGAGTTCGACTCATGACTGAGTTTTCGTGAATAGTCATTGAGACAGGGTCTTCATGACCGCTAGTCATACTAGTCGATGGTGAAACATCGCGCTAGATATTTAGCTGGCGTGGAGAGATTCACGTCTACTAGAGAAAGGCTAGACGAATCTTCCACGCGTTCCGTTTTGGATCGTTGAGTGAGTTAGGATTTCTACCGCACACCTCTCTTCCACCACTTCTACAGTCTCCCGCGGGGTTTCAGTATCTACGATTGTGGATCTCTCTCGTCGATTAGTTTTCATAGCTTTCTAATCCTCTCATAACTTTCATTCTCTCAAACTCAAAACACTCGAAAGATCTTTACACTAGCTTTTAGCGTAGTGCACTTGCACCAACTTGGCCGTCATGGGCCGAGAACTGACTGCCATCCCACGGTCCATAGGATTGAATGAGGGATGGTTTTCGAATCTGCACCAGAGAAGGACGGCTTGAGTGAGGCTTGGATAACAGAGGTGCGATCGATCGATTGATTCGAATAATTAAAACAACTCACCTGTTGACGGCCGAGCTCGGAGTTCTCTCCTGAATACCATAGAAATCCAATGAGGGAGAGAAGTCAGCGCTGTACCTTCAATTAACACTCTTGATGATAGGCTTACCGGGTACCTCACATCGAATCGATCGAACGATCCTCCTACCAGTAGTACCACCGATATCACTGTTGTCGGCCAAGCTTGGATTGACCTCCTGTTTGCCATAGGAATACAATGAGGGAGAGAAATCAGTGCTGCTCCTTCAATAATAACACACTTGATAATAGACTTACCCGTAACAGCAGTAGCAGCCATCGATCGATCGTTGACGGCCGAGCTTGGATTTCTCTCCTGTTTACCATAGGAATACAATGAGGGAGAGATGTCAGTGCTGTGCCTTCAATTGAACCATTCATCGTACCGTACTCAATCAGTTTATCCTTAACCTTAGTAACTTCAACGGTTCTTTTTATCCACGAATCGATCTAAATCTTTCGAAGCACATGACCGTTGATTCTGCAACTGAAGTGCGGCTACTCTAATTTACACAGTAAACGCCGGCAAATCGATTCCAGAGTGCAACAGGTTGAACAACAACAACAGGCGACAAACTACTGCTGTTCGCGCCACTACTACAAGCGCAACAAGAGGGAAAACCCACAAGCAGCAGCTTGACTCATCTTGTTCGCATGAGCACCCTTGACCCGCTGAATCCCATCAATCGCCGGACTGTCCGCTTTGACATTGATCCCAGCAAAGAAGATCAGAAGTCATTAGCCCGAAAGGCGAAAGCAGTAAGTAGTTGGGGAGCCGAACTGTGACCTGCCGCTTGTTGTTGTTTGATGCTGTTGTTGTTGTTGTTGTTGTTGTTGTTGTTGTTGTTGTTGTTGTTGTTGTTGTTGAGCGTGTCTAACTGGTGTGCGAGGCACTCTTGACAGGTGAAACAAAAGAAAATGGCAGCCGGTAAGAAACCTCAAGAGTCTTGCACACAAGAGAGACTGCTAGAGGAGACTTCCATTGCGCTCTTTCTCACATTCCGCTGCTCTTCTTTCTTGTCTCCGCAGAAGAGCAGCGAAAGGATCATCGCTTCTTGGAGCAGCTGGTGGCGCCTGGAAATTTTCGCACAGTGGCTCATGTAGTTTTGAACAATGGTTCGATTAATGCTCAACTCAACTACTTCCTTGATCAGCATCAAATTCGAGACCCAGGACTCACACAAGCCGGGCCATTGGCGTCGCTCCAAGAGGCAAATTTGTCGACGAGGTTGGGTCAATTGGCACATGTCTCCCTCGCCAACATCGATCAGGTTCAATTGCATGCAGTCCGAGTGCTTTTTGAGGGATTACACTTTTACCATGGCGGAAACATTGAAACACCCACTAACTCCCCTGCAAACCGCCCAGGTCCACAGAATCAAGGGGGGGGCGGACGCGGCGGTGGGGCTGCTGCGGTGCCACCATAGGAATGCCAAAGCATGGAGCATGTTGGCTGCCGTAAACGAATCGGAGATGACAAAATGTCTCTTCATCGTTTCAATTTTTTGTCGCCCTCCTGCTGCTTTTTGTTTGCTATTGTGCGGATATGAACCGAACAAGGTCTATGAGGGTGAATGCACATGGGGGGAAATAAATTAACGATTACGTTGGAATCGCCAACCACGAAGTTGGCTACCGGTAGACTAGGTTATAATTTTAGTTTTTCGTCTGTCGTCGTAACGTTTTTAGGGTTATGGGTTACCACAGGTTAGCCTGGAACCTTTACCTCGTACCGGTACCGGTACGAGTTTTGAGGGTCGGGTCTTCTTGAGAGTTTGTTAGGGTTAGGACTAACCATTCCAGCCCAGGTACTACTAGCTAGCTAGAGTAGCTTTAGCTTGGTACAGTATGGTTCCAGGTCCGGATACTAGTAGCTCTAGCTTGGTAGGGTACGGTTCCGGGTCCTGGTATGATAGTTTAGCAGAGCCATGGTACTTTGACTGGAACTGGGTATTATGATGGAAGTTGGAGAAGATTTGAGAGTTTGTAGAGGTGAGGTACGGTCCTTCCGAGCGGGTACTAGTAGCTTTAGCTTGGTACAGTATGGTTCCAGGTCCGATACTAGTAGCTCTAGCTAAGTAGGGTATGGTTCCGGGTCCAGGTACAGTAGTTTAGTAGAGCCATGGTACTGCGACTGGAACTGGGTATTAGGATCGAAGTTGGAGAAGATCTGAGAGAGTTTAGCATGGTGAAGTCCGGTTCCGGGTCCGGGTACTAGTAGCTTTAGCTTGGTACAGTATGGTTCCAGGTTAGGGTTCCCTATCGCTGGCTTGCTAGTAAAGCAAGCCCATGCCAGTTGGCCAAGCAACTGACAGCCCTCATTTCAATTTCCGTGGTTGGCGCAACCGGAGGCCTCTTGTTGATGTTGTTGATTTCGTTTAGTCATGGTGTCAAGCAAAAGGCGTGGCCATCTTTTTGGCCTGTCATCATAGCATGCATTTAATTTAAGCCAGCGGAGCTGTGTAACCTCGGCAGAAAGGTTTCAGTGTAGAAGCAGATACCCCTATTAGCTATCTAGCTAGAAGCAGATACCTCTAGCTAGTGCTTAGCTAGCGCATAACTTGCGCTTAGCTAGCTAGAAGCAGATTCCCCCTCTAGCTAGAAGCAGATTCCCATAGCAAGCTAGAAGCAGATAGCCCTAGCTAGCTAGAATACAAGTTATATAGCTTTCGCTGGCTTTAGAGTTTTTCCTGGTAGAAGCAGATCCCCTTACTAGGAGGCATGTAAATAGCTTTAGCTGGTTTAAAGCACCATCCTAGGATACTTATTTAGTTTTTGCTGACTTATTTGTATTCTAACCCTACCCTTATACCTGCAGGGACCACCGTAGCAGAAAAAACAATTAAAGGGGTTGAGGGCTCTGGCAGCAAGACTGCCGAGGTTTAACAGTTAGTAATTCTATTTACTGTAATAGCATGCCCGGAATTCTATTTTCTAGCTAATGCTTTCATCTCTAAAATAATCAGTTGTTTTACCCTGTTGGTGCTGGGTAGTCTGATGTCTTACCTGATATTAAGCCGGCTTCAAGTCAGGAAGTTTATCCGTCTGACAATACACAATGAACAGTTTGTATTCGTTGCGTAGCCAAGCAGCTAGAGAGCACCATGAACCCACTATCTGATTGCTCCCTGTTTGCATTTGGGAGTGATTGAGCGACATCAGAACCTGAAAAAAGTTCCATTCCATTTTACATTAGCGGTGGACATGGTCACAGCAGAGATTTGCGACACTAGCAAAAAGGGAGCGGCTGACACCGCACCATCCAACCACTGTAGCTAGGCCACCGCTGGGACATTCAGGAAACTGGATTAGGCACAGATCTAACCATTGCCAGTGCAGAACCAGAACAGATCTCTCTCATGCTGTGCAGATCTCACTCAAGCCAAGACCGATCGAAACTGGATGTCCCTGCACGATAAGCTAAAGTGCAGTAGCATCCACAACGGCAACACTGTCGATAGATGTCTAGCTAGCTAGCTTCCGCCATGACTTAAGTGTAGCGGTGACACATTTTACAGCTCTAGGAGCCAGACATAAAAGTCATCGTTCACATCTGAACACTGCACCACTATTCCCGAATGATAGCTCTGATACACTAATAGTTTTACCTCATTTTTGAACAAACCCCTTTTCAGATTTACAAGCCGGTGCAATACACGGCTCTTAGCCTTATTCGCGACTCGATCCTAGATAGGGTTTGAGTTCGACTCATGACTGAGTCTCTCGTGAATAGTCATTTGAGACAGGGTTCTCTATGACCGCTCTAGTCATACTAGGTTGATGATGAAACATCGCTCTAGATATTTAGCCAGCGTGGAGTACTTCCACGCTACTAGATCCATGCTAGACGAATCTTCCACGCGTTCCGTTTTAGGATCATGGAGATACGTAGGATTACTACCGCAACCTACTCTATCACACTTTATAGTCTCCCGCGGGAGACCAGATCTACGATC